TGATTTTTTGAGACAGGGTTTCTCTGTGTAGCTTTGTAGACCAGGCTGACCTCAAACTCACATAGATTCATCTACCTCTGCCTCCCAAGTGCTGGGATTAAAGGTGAGCTCCACCACACTGCCAGGCTCACAGCTGTATATGGTAAGACTGTACAAATCTTAAATACATATTCACATCTCCTTTCAAAATGATTTCATTTCACAATATTATTTCTACAAAACGTAACTGCTGAGTTATAATATGTGTTAACTATTTCTGCCTAACCTAAGATTGAAGTGGTTTTTCTTTTTAGGAAGGCTTTCATCTCTGTTCTATTTAAATCATTAATGAATTAAAAAACCTTCTACAATACATTATAGTTATGAGTAGCTATAATTAGTGAGTGTTAACAAGTGTTAGTAGTGATACATGTTTATTCAATATTGTTCTTTATGTGTAGTTATGTTTTCTTTGCTAATCACTGAAATAGTTCTGGAGTCATGGTTCTTTCTGGTTTCATGAACTTTTTAAAAACATTCCTGAGTCAGAAGCCTTGTCCTTGAATTCCCCCCATAATGAGCTTTTATCCTTTTAGTTCTTAAAGTCCTAGCTCAGATATCATCTCAAAGAGAGTGTTATTAATCACTCTTGTCATCTTATTATGGGTGGACTTGTATCCCCTAAAAAGTGACAAGTTGAAGGCTAGTGAGATAGCTCAGCATATAAAGGTGCTTCACCTCCAAGTCTGATGGCCTGAGTTTTATCATGGGATCCACATCGTGGAAGAAGAGAATCAAGTCCTAGAAGTTGGACTCTGAACTTCATACAGGCACCTTGGCACACAGATACACACAAGGAAAAACATAAATATGTAAAAAAATATTTAAAGGTTACAAGTTAAAGGGCAAACCCAGTGCGATTCTACTTAGAGATGAAGGATGTATTTAAAGTTCACTGACATGGCAATGGTGAAGCTCTAATCAGGGATGATTGGTGTCATTGTAAGAGGACAACATGGAGGACACACATACATAAGCGAGAGTTCAGTAAGGAAGACACAGCAGTCTGCAAGCCAAAGGAAGTCTGGAGGAAAGAACAAGCTGGCACCTTGGTCTTAGACTTTTAGACCCCAGAACTGTGAGAAAATAAAGTTCTGTCAAGTTATTCTGGTGGCTAGAATAGATTAGTTCTGGTATGGAAGGGTAGGAAGCTACTTTCACAGATATGTATTTGTAAAAAAGACTTAATTTCTTATCAGAAGTCTGATTTTAAATTTGGCATCCATTACAAATTTCTATTAAACATATTTGGTTAACTCAACAGCAATAACTAATGGCTGAAAGAGTGGAAAGGCAGATAGGAGAGTGTTTGGGTGGTCCAAGGCTAAAGTGACAGTGTCCCCCTGTCCTCAGGAACCACCAGAGTCACACTCCAGGGAGCCTGTGATTCTCTGTACCACGTGACTCCCTTTGCTTTCTCCCACTCAATGTTATACCCCAATTCCCTTTGTCTTTCTACATTTTTTTCATTTTAAGACTGCCACATACACAAAAGTTTCTGAAATATTTGTTATTTTAGGTCCAAACAGGTGGAATATAGAAGCAAGGATGACACTCAGGGATAAAGGTCCCTACTATCAGAATTAAGTAGAAATAAAAAAAAACATAAATATATCAAATAGAAGTCTATCAATTATCTTTTATTACACACATGCACACACACACATATTAGGATAGAAGAGAAAACAATTATAGACACAATTTTTGAGTATATAGCATATGCTATAAATTAGAACTAAAAAAAGAAGAAATCATAGTTGGGATGATGAGATGGCCCAGAGGTTAAAGGTGATTGCTCCCAAGCCTGACAACCTGAGTTTGATCTCGGGAACCCATATGGTAGAAAGGGAGAATCAACTCCCACAAGTTGATTCTTGTTGACAACCATACAAACATTCCCACATGCATATACACAGAGATGCACATGTAAAACAAATAAATGTAAAAAAAAAAAACACAGCTAACATGCATTGAGTGCTTGTGTATCACCATGTGGGGTAATGGACTATCCAAAGAACTGGAGGAGGAAAAGGCAAAATTCAGAAAACACAAATCATGACTCAAGGAAGGCTATAGAGATTTTAAAGAATTCTAGAACCTTTGCAACTTTCTAATTTTGGTTTTAGTTTTATCATATTTGTATATCTCTTAAAACAAGAAAGTTTTTGTAATGGTGGTCTTCAGCATGGATAAAGGGAAGCTGGAGCACTACACTGACTTTTTCCCAGGGCTGCATTGTCATCCTAGAATAAGGGTGATGCCAGGGAAGAGATACTCAAAACAGAGAATAAATGGAGGCAGGAGGGAAAAGAGACTGAAATGAGGGGGTGGGAGCCGAGGACCACATGGGACTGCAGGGTAGAAATGCATGTGTTTGTGTTCAGTTTGGATTAAAATTAAAATGAAATCTTTTAGGAGTTTCAGAAAGAGCTGTAACACAGTTGTTTTTAATATGTAAGTGAGCTAAACAGAGCATCCTTATTCACTACCACATTTCTACTTATCCTAGGATCTGCTGTTTCCTCCAAAATTCTTGTAAGCTGGAGGCTGATCCTTTGTGGCCATCTATCATGGAAGGAAAAATCCCCTTTCATTCTGACTCTGTTTCTTTAACTTATATGTGTGGAGAGTGGCAGAATTCTTCTTCTGTAATGGTGGTAATGGCCATGTGTTTCTGCACATGGTAATGGCCATGTGCAGAGTGGAGAATTATTCCATGCTTACCAGAAGGAAAATTGAGATTACTGAACTTTGTGACCTCAACAACAGGACAACAATAGGAATGCACAACATAGTGCATTCATGTATAAATAAAGGGATGGATGGCTATTTCTTGACTTCTGTTACAGTGTCATGTAGTGCCTGGACTAGGAACAAAAAGCCCAGAAGACAAACGTGTGGTGATGGCATTTCTGATGAAGTAGGTGTAATGGGTTATATAGGTTTTAGCTCTCTTTTCTGTTCCCTCCTACTTTCCTCAAACTCTGTTATCACAGGCACTGGAGAGACATGAGATAGGGTGGAACCTGATGCTTAGCCTGGACATGGTGAAGGTGTGGGGCATGAGAAAAGAGAAGAAAGGTCAAAAGGAAGAGGTCATCACAGCAGACCCCAGACCTACTGTAGAGGTGAGGACTGATTCATCTTGCTCAGAAGCTGTTGTTCAGGTGACATTATACACCAAAAAGTAGTCCTAAACACTTTTTACCTTTCCATTAGAACTAAATGAATACTCAAATTTTATCTTCAGGTTAATTTGATTATTTCACAATAACAGGAAATTACTTAGAGAATTATCCTTTCCATTGAAATAGAAATCTATGTTATAAAAAAACACAGGACTTTTATGTTATATATAGTTTATAACATATTTTTGAGTATGCTATTCATAAAAAACTTGGAAAGAAGATAAAGATTGGGATTATATGTAATTACACAAATGTCTATATCTATAAATGTAAGTATAGACCCAAATATCTATCCTTATATGCTATTTGCATTGGATAAATATGCTTCTCATTGGAAATATACTTCAAAGTCCAAAGTTCAACACCGTGGACATGAAAGGCTGTCTCAACAAAATCCATATACTTTTGTTCTGAAAACTGTTAATTTTTGAGGAGCAGATTATCCATTTCAAGATCTAGTGAGTGTCAATAGAAGTCAGAGGACAATTTTTAATAGATTGGATTAGAAGGGCCAGGGACCGTAGCCCAGAAGTCAATAGCTCTGGACTGAAGGAAAGGCGTCATTTAAAACAGTGAGGTGATAGTCTCAATTTGAGTTTGAACTTATTTTGAAAAAAAATGAAAATAGGGGCATACATTTCAATAGCCCAGGAAAAATCCTGTGTTGTGGAGAGTGGAAGTGCAATCTGACTATTAAAATGCAGACAGAAGGACTATGTACTTTCTAGTTCTGGGAAGGTCCCACAAACATTTTGAACTCTTTGTGTGTGTGTGTGTGTGTGTGTGTGTGTGTGTGTGTGTGTGTGTGTGTGCTCACGCACATGTGTGTGCGTTTGTGTTTCAGTGTTAAAGGCAACAGACTCGTGTGTTCTTCGGCTGAAGGTGTGCCATTAACCACCATGAGTGTCAATTCACTTTTAACCACAGATACTTCCCAGCTTTTACCCAGATCCTACAGTACAGGATCTGTTATTGTTACATCATGTTTCAGCTTTACAAGCTCAAGTTGCTGCTCATAGAATTTTCATAATAAGAAAGAGTTCGTTATCAACTGATAATATTAAAACTAAAACTAGTTTCAAAATCAGTGCACAACATCTTTCAGGTCTCAATCAAGTGGCACCATTGCCAGCCCAAGCCTCTCTTGCACAAACAAAACAAAACAAACCCAAGAAACAAAAAACAAACAGAAAACCCACAAAACAGTTTATCTTGATAATGCTCGCTTAACTATACCAAGACTCCTAATTTAATTGTTAATTGCTACCGAATATAGAACAAGAATTTTACTTTTCCTATATGGCTATTCTTGAGATTTCTATTCTGAATGTCTTCCTTAAATTTTTGGAGGCACTATTTAGTGATTTCAAAGCCTCCATGGGTTCTTTTTTTAACTTTTCTATTCTTACTCATTATTTTTACTTGCCACCAGGCAAATCTAGTAATAGAAAACAATGCAAGTTAAAAATATTGTCTTGAAAGGCCTATCAAAGCTTGTCTTCTGCATGTATTTTTGGGGGTGGTGGGAGTGATGCAGAATAGCTCCCAGGTTTTTCTGTTGCCGAAATAAGACTGTAAATCTCTTCCTACCCTTAACTCTTCAATGTTTCTGGTCTTGCACACAACACAACTGTGAACTTGCACGTCTTCTTAGAAATAACAGGCTTCCTTTGGAAAACAGGCACTTAGGAAATGTTCACCCATTTGAGTTCACACATTGGTGCATTTTCCAGGCTATGCTAGGCAGACTGAGTGAATCAGAAATTTTCTTACCTTTTGAGGGACGTAAGACAATGCATATCACGAGTAAAGCAAGGCCAGCCAACGTGGCAACTCCAACGACAGTTTTCATCCATGTCTACATAGAATACAGAACATTTTAGACACGGCCTTAGTTTCTACAAAGAAATGGTAAGATTTTGTCGAGCCCTAGCTCCTACTTCTCCTCCCCTACAAAGCTTGAGATTGTGTTCCACTGATCTGGCGGTAATTGCTGGAACCTTTCCAGGTCTGCTAAAACAAATGTTTCTACAGTGTATTTAGAGCCACTTTCCAACCCTAACACACACCAGGAAGCGATACTCAAACACAAACCCTCACCTTTAAACAACAGAAAACTCTGACAATACTCAGCCCAGGCTGCCTCTAGGCTGTGTAATCCCCGAGACCACACGCACTAACCTTCATTTTCCCAGATGTTTTTGAAAGTTAGCTGATTCTCACTGCACTGCTCGGGTCACCGCATCTGTGAAAACCGTTGAAAAGAAGCAAGTCTGTCTTCCAGTTGGAAGCTGAAGTCAGGACATGAGGGTTTTGGTTTTTTTTTTTTTTTCCCTTTCCACGGACTTTTGACTACCTTGCCAAATTTCGAAAGATTTCTGTAAAATTAGAAACAGATTTTGGGGGCGTTCTTGGCCTTTAAATGAACTGTTAGTGGCTCAAGGGAGGCTTTACAGTCCTCCAATCCTTGTAAATTCTACACCACTATCTGCTTATGGTGTCATGCAGAGGTGGTTTATTTCACATTTTTTGTTGTTGTTCAGGTTTGTGTTTCATTTTCTCCTAGAAATCGCTCTAGTCACTTTGGTAGCAGTCTTTTCTATACTCCTCCCATTTGTAGCTGAAAGGAGAAATTTCAAATAAAGAAACTTTCTGAAACATGCATCATCCATATCTAATTTTCAGGAAGGGAGGAACACTGGAGCCAAATGTGGCTTTGTGAGAAGTACATGGTGTAGCTGCACACTTTTCTCCTAGGAGCCTGTGAGGTGCAGCAGACAGAAATGTTTTTCTTTCAGCACAATTTCTTTGTCCATATAGCACCATATGCACTTTCAGTAAATACAGAAGTTTAAAAATTCAACTGTCTAAACCCACGGCTGCTTTCCTTTAGAGAAACGAAGCGCCATCTGTTGAAATGTAGTATGGGTTAGGTGTGTTTGCACAGGCTAGAAAGATGGAAAGATCAGTGGGAATAATTTACCAGCAGACCTTTGGAAGAATGGAAATGGCTTTACAAGAGTGATATTTTTGCTTTGCTCTCAGAATAACTTCAGAGAAAGGAGAACATTTAGTAATTATAAAGACCTTAAAATAAATTTTAAAAAGGCAAGTGAAAAGAGTAGTCATGTATACTTCATTTTGGCTAAGTCCACATATTTCAAAGTGATTGGTCATCTTGGCAGATCAGTAAAATGACTGATGGAATACACACACACACACATCACACACATCACACACCACACATTCACACACATCACACACCACACATTCACACACACACACACACACATCACACACCACACATTCACACACATCACACACCACACATACACACACCACACACACACACACACACATATCACACTCCACATATCACACACACCACACATTCACACACCTCACACACCACCCAATAACACACCACACACACACACACACACATATCACACTCCACATATCACACACACCACACATTCACACACCTCACACACCACCCAATAACACACCACACACACACACACACACATATCACACTCCACATATCACACACACCACACATTCACACACCTCACACACCACCCAATAACACACCACACACACACACACACACATATCACACTCCACATATCACACACACCACACATTCACACACCTCACACACCACCCAATAACACACCACACACACACACACACACATATCACACTCCACATATCACACACACCACACATTCACACACCTCACACACCACCCAATAACACACCACACACACACACACACACACATACACATACACACTACACACACACACACACACACACACATACACACACCACACATATCACACACACCACACATTCACACACACCACACACAACCCACACACCACACACACACACCACACACACACACACACACACCACCCACAACACCAACAACACAACACACACACACACACACACACACACACACACACACACATATTGGGGGGCAGGCATTCTCTCTGGACCAGAGCAATTCCCTAGGGCAGATTCTCTGTTTCCATACAGATACAGTTGCTAAGTCTGTTATCTTCAGATTTCCGCCAATGGCTTTCTTTAGAAGTTTATAATGTTCTTTTCCTGGCTATGCCAAACTTCATGCTGATCTTTCATGAACTGTTTATGGAAAGTAATGAGGAAACATTACTGGAAGATGTTGCTGTTTGCCTAAGTTGACTGCTCTGGTTACCACAGGAAGCTTTCTCCACCATAAACCAGGACAGTGGCTTGTGAACTTCCTCTCAGACATTCTCCAGACAGCCATCCCCGAATTCCAGCCTCATGAAAGTTCTATTAAGGAAAGTGAGTCATTAGCACGTACTGGCAGAGAAATGTACTTACAGCCCTCAGCAGCTCTGGGGTGAGTACCTCTCCCTTTGCAGTAAGTGAGCTCTCACTTGACAAATGGAAGCAGTCACTGGGAGCAATCACAGATGTGCTATGTACTTACAAATATCTCCATGAGTCTTGATTTGAGGCCTCAATCCAAGATAAAACCACCAGCCTGGTCCCAAATGAACTGCTCTCTGGAGGATCCTCTCAGATTGGTTGTTTTCTTTGGCATATCCACATAATACTTTCTCAGAAATTCTGTCCCAGCCTGCCAAACCACCCCCAAAGTCAGCAAGCAGTGAGTAGCAAATGATTCCCAAGACCTCCTTTTCTGGACAGAAACTGTCTGCAATAAATGATGAAGGTATAATTAAAATGCATACTGCTAGCTTTAGCAATTAAAAACACTGTCACATGACTGGGATGAGTACCACTTAGGACTCCAGCAATGAGTGGAGGGACTCATCATTAAGACTCACATAGACTCACCAGACTGGCTTTATGATGAAATCAGGGTGCCTTAGAAGGAGCCATTAAGTTGGAAGTGTTAATGTATTGGGAAAACATAAAGATGAATAAACATTTCACTTTTGTTTGTGTTTTCCCTAGGAAGTGGGTCAAATCAGACTATAACATCTGGAAAACTATTAATTGTTTGAACTGTTTCAAGTAGAATGTGACTAAGTACAGAAATAAAGGTGGACTGTTGTACAGAACTTTATGTTATGAATGTATTTCTTATAAAAGAGTTACAGATAGGTAAAGGATCTAGCTTATATCCAAGCAAAAGTTTCCAAATACTTGAACATTTAACCATTTCAACAGCTTTACCTTTTTTCTTTTTTGGGGACAAAATAAAAATACTTTTGATAAGGTTTTTGTTTCTCTTTTTTTTTTCCTACTAAGGAAACTGACTTTATAAAAAATTGCACAGTTATCATCTAATCAATTTTTGCTGTTGGGACAAAGATAATTGAGAGTAGGTTTGTTTCCTTAGGGGGTACCTGAGGAAGGTGTACCTCTTTATTTTTCCTCTTGGGCAGTCTTGCTAAGTATTTTAAAGCAGGGGCCATGTAAAGCTTAGTTTGAAATACAATGATATTCTGTTAAGTACATTGGGTAAATGGGCAATAATACATCTCAAGACAATGAACAGACCTTGCTAAAGCTATTTACTAACAGATATTGGTTGTTTTCCTAAATGACTGCTGTAATTTGGAGTTCAAGTTCTAGAGAATCTTATCTTGAATTGTTGGTCCCTATTGGAACTGATGGGAGCTGTTGAAAACTCTAGAAGCTTAAGCTGAACTGAAGCAGCTAGGTCACTAGGAATGTATCCTTGAAGATATATAGAGGACCTTGACCCATTCCTGTCTCTTTTTGCTTCCCAGGTATCATGATGTAAGTTTGCAATACCACCCTTCTGCTATTAATGCTTTCCCCACCCCTTGGAATGTTCAGACATAATGAACATTTCTTCCCTACTCTAAGCACAGTACTTTAATATATAATTTCACTCTATCTGTGTCCAAACTCATTTACTGATTATACAACAGAAACCAGATTAAAAATTAGACAAGTTGCCCATGATTGTAACAGTGCAGAGTTTGGAAATATTACATTGATTCTTTCTGGTAATTTCTTAATTGCTTCTAAAGTAATAATGATCATTTACATTAATGAATACTCCACTTGCTTTTCTATGGGACACACCTGGGAATGCCATGGTATTTTTAAAACTAAATCATACCTAATATTTTAAATATTAAAATGATATTTTCATTTTGAACCACATCCTTGGTCTGCATCGTCGTGGTGCATTTCTAAGAAGAACACAGTCTTGCTCTACAAAGACCATGGCCACAGTATTAAGTTGGACAGAGTGTTATGAGCGATCAGAGAAATATATTTTTTCTGGGGGCTATGAGATCTCTCTTCAAATATGCAAGTAATTTAAGGAATTTGTCAGATTATCATCAAAGGGATTTCTCAGATCCAAGCAAGAATGTGTCCTGACATCTTGAGAACATATAATAGCTGTCACATAGTCATAGATCTGGAAGAAGTGGTGTGACATAGTGTCGATGGAAGAGGATATTGCTTAAGCTACTTTTAAAATCTAATCTAATTTCTAAAATTATGATTTTGATGTAAGGGAGAATATGAAGAAACATGTCTTTCAGTTTATAATTGGCACCCACCATGTCATAATTAAATGCCAGGGGTTCATTATCCTATCACAATTAGAATGAGTTCTGGAAGCAGGGAGAGTTCTCTGTCAAATACAATTAGAAAGAAAATAAACAATTAATTTCCTTCCCTGGTATGGACACAGAGACTCAGAAGATACATCAATGCTTCAATGAAATTTGTGCTGTATGTTGTTTTTTATTTTTTCTTCTTTGGTTTGGTACTCACCCTGTAGCCCAGGCTAGCCTCAAACACCTGATCTTTCAGATTCTGCTTCCTGAAGGAGCTGGGATCAGAGGAATTTATCATGACTGTCTTCAATGATATTTCAAATACAATTCCTTTTAAGTGATTCATCAATGTTAAGATTAATCGAACAGAATAAATTTGTACCTTAGGTGCTTTAGCTAGTAAAATATACCATTTTACTAGCTTGTGTAGTATGAGAAGACTATGATGGGTAGTCAATGTTCATTGATAATCTTTTCTCAGTCTGGCTGTTTTTTTGTAAGCACTTTACTATTGCCATCTCAGTTCATCTTCAGAACTTATGGCCTTTATTGTCCTCATTTTACAGGAGAGAGCACAGAAGCATGGGAAATTTAAGCAGCTTTCGAAAGTGGTGTAGATGGGACAAAAACAAACAAACAAAAAACCCAAGGAGTCTATAAGGCAATTTCACTGATCCACACTAAGGTTCTAGCTGGAGAGTATTTGGGTTACATGACTGGGTTGTATAATTAAGACTTGAAGTGGGAGATGAATAAAAACAGAAGGAAGGCTTTGGATTAGCTAGTAAACTGGAAATTTTCATTAATTGAAATGTACACGTCATCAAATGGGAAGGAAAGAGCTTTCATTAAACAGCAGTAGGCTTCAGCTAAGAAACAAGTCCTCACTGACAAGGACAAGTATAGACTCAAAGAAATGAGTAGGTAAGAGACAAAAATACTGCCAATAATTGGAGGCAGAGGAGAGCTGGCTTGAGTTGCATTGCAAATTCTTTATAAAAGAGTTGTCGAAATGTGAGTTCAAATTGGCAAACTGAACACATACATTGATATTTCGTTCGTTAGAGGAAAGGAGATCAGTTAAGTAGCAATGGATAAAGTGGGCAAGGTGTCATTGGATAGAAGATAGACATCTCTCTGAGACACACTTAGAACAGCTTTGCCTGGAAGAAATGGGGAATATCAGAACTGACATGGCATTTACAACAGAGGGTAGGATGGTGAGGTGGAGCTGAAATGAGGGCTAATTGGATAGTAATATATGGACATTTTTGCTTTTGTTTGCAGAGGAATGTGCAGCTTGGCATTAATGTCAGGCCAAAGCAGATTTACTTTTCAATGATATCAAGGCATTACTGGAGGAGCATCAAGGAGCCAGTACACCAAAGTCAACCATCCTCTGGCTTCAGGACTGCATCGGCATCCTTAAATTTGCCATCCCCATACAAGTATGTTCCCATACTAATTTTAATACCTACTCTAAGACAGCTAGGTGAGAAAGATAATTTTATTAAAACAAGACAAGTTAAATCTCTAAACCACGAGAGAAAAAATGAGCAAAACAAAGTTGAATATGTGGGGAGAGAGAACATTCAAGGTGGGTAAAAACAACAAATAACTAACTGTCAGATAATCCAAGGAATTGAAGCAGGCATTTTTTAACCTTTATTTTTTCAATGAAACCTTGCTGAATCCCTTCAGTTATAGTAAGTCCAATCATTACCATCATTTAAATGCAAGGTTATGAGAAAATAAATTTAGGATTATTAAAATCTTCATGATGGAGAATTTTGTGTATCAATGGAATTGTTCCAAGGGATGTTGGAATAGCTGGTGAACCATTACTTCTGTGTTCCTCCAGAAAAGTTAGTATCTGAATCCATAGTGAGAACAGCAATAAAGATCAGTTCTTATCAGAGTGGGCAAAAATCATCTGATCTCTTAAGAGTCTGAAAAGACCAAAAAAATTCAAAGGAAGAATAACTCTATCAACTATCTATTATCTATTTGTCTATCATCCATCTATCTATCCACCAACTTATCATATATATATATATATACATATATATATATATATATATATAATCATGTATCTATTTCTCTACCTATCAATCCCCTATCATTTACCCATCAACCTATTATTCATCTACTATCTATTTCTTTTCTCTATCTATTAGACATTTATGCATGTATTTATAAAACTGTCCTTCTATTTACCTATTTATTGTTTATATATCTATCATGTAGATAAACCTATTTTTCCATCTGCTATCTATTTATGTCCATTGCTATCCATATATAACAAAGATGGATAGTGTAATAGAGCCTTAGTAGGCCCCCAGAGCTTAGCACAACTGAATCCATGACAGAAGTCCCATTCAGGTCGTAAAACTCAGCTTATGGACAACACCACAAGACAAAATGAAAACAAAGACCTAATCCTTCAAAGTCCATAATTCTGGAAACATAGCTAGATGTACTAACCTTGCCTTTTGACTTCTGTAATTCTGCTTCTGGCTAACTGTTCTTGTTAACTGCAGTATTTCAACCCAAAATATGTTTTCTTTCTTTCTTTCTTTCTTTCTTTCTTTCTTTCTTTCTGTCTGTCTGTCTGTGTTTCTTTCTTTCTTTTTGTGTGTGTGTATTTAAAAGTTCACCCTGAGAAAAGTTTAGGACTACAGTGGGATCCTAAACACCCAGTGTAGTTAGTTGAAAACCCAGGGTAGTCACCTTCTGGGTAATAAAGACTTTCTGTTGACTTAAATCCTTATCAGAGCAGTCTTCTCTGGTAGATACTCTATTCTATCTACAGATAGCGTGATAGAAAAGATAAGTGATACAAAATAAAAACTCAGAGAGTTTTTATACTAAAAGTCAAAAGAAAGCATTTCAAGAAGTAATTCTATGCTGTCATGGAAAACAAAAAGAAATGGTCCTAACCTTAAATTACATGCAATGTTCAGAAGGCACCAGGAAAGAAAAGGCAAAAATAGGAATGCACAGTCTATGAATAAGGAAACAGTAAATGTGCTGAATTCCTTGTTCAAATGTCCTGTTTATAATGATGCCTTATTACACATTTAAAATCAACCCTTATTTCTTTTAGCATTGGGAAAGAAGGCAGAGACAGAAAGATTACCAGATTCAGGCATGCTTGGGTTATCTAGGAAGTTCCAGGCCAGAG